TTCAGTTTGTTATTGTTATTGTTTGCAGTTTTCTCTTCTGTTATTGACCGCGTTGAACTTTGGACACTGAGTGAATGCGGAATGAATATGCTGTTAGTTTTAGTACACTTGCTTTCGCCTTCTCGAAATTAATAATAGAATAGTTGAGTTAGAACACAGATAAATATAATCACACAATCTTTAACTAAAATTTCTAATCAAATTCAAATCATCTAACTAATTTCATCAGCGGATAGGAATATTATTCTAATCTTCCGGAATAGATTAGGTATCTTTTGTTCATTTGCTACAGAACAGCGACTCATGTTCTGCAAATGCACAGATCCAGTCAGTTAAAGCAACATGGTCAAAAAGGAGAATGAACAAATGCAGCAACCGTTGTAATTGAAACTCTCAGTCCGATAATGTAGATGTTATGCTCTGCTATCATGGAGTTTCGGCAGGAAAATACTGAAACAAAAACTACAATATAAATAAACAGTAAGCGTTCCACTTTACTTCCCCTGGAGCCCTCACTGAGTTGTTCTGGGCCCCAAGCCCATAAAAAAGGAGACAGTGTGGTATTGGCAACGCTGTAGTGCCTCCACATATATTCCAGTTCGCTTACATCTAACTCGGTTAAGCCCTTTCGATTAATTTATTTAACCAAGCCATTCGCGCAGCAACAACTTATCTGTACCCATTCGTTCTTATTATTGTCTGGTTTGTATGAGCTCACATGATGTTTCCCATTTGTTATTTGACCTTGTCAACTATTTGTCGCTTTTATTCATGTGTGCATGTCTATTTTGCTTGTTGCATGTCCGTCTTATATTTGTCTGACTATATGTTCTTAGTCATGCTCTATTTCTTTGAGTTGGCTCTTAGCCTTCTCCAACGCGCTTGTTCATACGATTCGCTTCAGTCGCTCATTCGCTCGCCAGTGTACACAAATGGTGATCCCGACGTCAACATAAATCGGCCACCACAACGCCATCACGTAGAAAGCTAACTTGCAAAAATCACTGACCTTAAAATCCCTCACGATGAAAGATGCGGCCATGGAGAAGAAGATGCATCACATACACTAGGAGTTGTACCAATGCTGTCCAAAGAAGCACAGAAAGCACTGATAGGATAGGAGTATCATGCACCCTGGATCATCAAAGCATCATTCAACAAATATCGTGCAGTGCTACAAATCTACCGATGATAACGATCAGGACGATAAAGATCAGTTCTGTGAAAGGTTGTAGTCAATCGGCGAGAAGTGTACAACAAAATATTTTAACATTTTGATGGTAGACCCGAAGTTTAGTACTCACAACACTAGATATGAAGATATTATGGGATTCCATGGATTGGTATTGAGGAACGGAAATGATGAGTGATTCACAAACCTATGTGCGTTCAAAAAACGGTTACAGCTGGCACCATGTTTACATAAACGCGTACGAAAAGCTTCGTCGGTTTTGCCGGATCACACTACACAGAGCCACATTGACGACATCTGCATCAATAGAATGTTCAGATGGACCGTATATGACGTATGAACAAAGGGAGGAGCTGACATGGCTCTATACCATCACCCGAGGTTACCAAGATGAAATCGAAGCTACAGAAGCTAGTCTTAGGAATATGAGAAAGCTCATGGAATCAAAGATAGATCTCAGCAGTAAGTTGCCAAAATTTCACAATTTACAGGCCGAATACAGTGATGGTAACAGTAAAATGAGAAGAAGCAATAGAACATCACCATTCCTGTGGAAAGAGCCTACTGAAACCATCCAACATTATTCTAGTTTTAGGAGCTAGCAATTGTAGCAGCTTGGACATTTTCCAGCACATTGCATCCTTGGTATCCAAAGCAAGGAAGTTAATCAGTTTCATACCGATATATTTTAAAAAATCGAATAACAATACATAAAAAACGTACTATACCCATTGTTGAATATGGCAGCTCTACGGTTTGATGAAAAGTGAAAGCATCTAAAGGAGTTTCACTAAAGCTCTTTCGGGGTATTCCTGTAATAAGAATTATCACGAAAGATGCTGATAAGTTAAGTTAGAACTCTGCTGTATCAGATTCATCAAATTAAAATTTGTCTTTATTTACCGTTTTATAAATGTTATTCTTTGCTCAATAGAATTTGTATTCCTTCTTAGCACTAGTAATACCTAGAAAATGTCAGTTCACACCATAGTAGTCACGTATGGACCAGTACTGGACAGAGGAAGAACTATGTGAGCACATAGAAGATAACATAGTTTGAATTTGAATTAAGCGCGGAATAATGTATAAAGGAATCACTGCTGTATAAAAACATCACAGATTACCATCCATTTATACAAAAAAGGTCCAGATTCTGTTTGATTGACTGTTAAAGAAGAAACTTTGAATTAGTATTATTATCCATTTTGATTCTTATCAATATATTGCTCTGTTATTTTCGTGTAAGTATTCAAAGTTTACTTCGGTTTATATTTAATAAAATATTAATAATTGACTGCCTGATATACATAAGATATTTTACAATTACTGCTCAACAACTTATGATTAAAATGAACGTCTTGTCTTACGCTTGATGAAGCAAATCGACTTTTATAATAACTTTATCTGCACCATATATTTGGGACCCCCAAAATTTAATAATTGATGACCTTTCTTTGCTTTCATTTGTGACTCTTATGCTAAAATGAAGTTTTACTTAACACTGTTACACAACTTCAATTGTCCTAATCTGATTTCACTTGAAATCAAAATTTTCCTTGAGACGTCAATACTCCAGTTACCTGTATTAATTTTGTTGAACCTCTTGAAGCACTAGATACTGTCCTTTTTCCCCACTTTCTATTTTTATCTTTTCTCCTACACAAATCTCATTCTTACGCCTCCACAGTTTCTTAATGAAAACACATCTTGATTGTTCCCACTCATTTTATTTTGACAGTGTATTTGAGATTCCTATGAACTAATATTTAATGACCTTTATTGGATTTTAATTGCGAATTTCACTGCATTAATGTAGACTTTGGTAGTTTGAACTCTTGCTCGGCCTAGGTGTTCAACAAAGTATTATTGAATCGATTAATGGATTCAATCGACTTTTACCTAGATATCGGGCTGGATTCCATGTCGATCGATAGTTTAGTGTCCAAATCGCAACACTACTAATCAATCAGTTGAATAGAATTCATCACTATATACCATGTTCCTTGACTATGAGAAAGCATTTTATAGCGTAGATAGACTAATGTAATGGAATCTTATTTAATACTGTGAAGTACTTGAGAAGGCAGCCAACATCATAAGTAAGTTTTAAGAAGAACAACACTGAGAAGTCATACATGCAGGATAGCTGACAGATTCATTCCAAGTGAGGACTGGTATCAAACGAGGCTACTTACTATCAACATCTCAGTTTTTAATAGTATTTTACTGGATTATAAAAACCTCAGCATCTCTAGAGGATGAAGAGCTACAGGGGAGAAACAGAATGCGGCTTGATGACCAATACTTTCCAGATCAACTAGCCCTTTTATCCGACGTACAGCAACATAGGCAAGTGAAGGTAACTAGTGCAGCAGCAGGCTTCAATATAAACAAGAAAAAAGGTGAGATCATTGAATATGTTCAAGTGCACGTGAACTGGCAAGTCTCGACACCAGCATTTATACAACACATTATCTTAGGCCCACCCTCTTCCTGATGTTCGCTAATGAAGCTAATCGGATTCCCTTTCAGTTTCAAAAAGGACCTTAGAACAATGGAGGAGTTGGCAGTAGATAATTGTATAAAACCTAAACAGTCGAAATGTCATATCATGAACATTGTGACCTATGAGAAAAAATATATATCCTGATCCCGATTGTTTTTTTGAAGCTCGACCTCGGACTATCAACCATAGAGGGTTTAAATGACAGCTGAAACTTTAGAGGCGATTCAGTCGAAGCAAACTCAGATCTTCAGTTTATGTCAAGACGACTTGGTGTAGTCATCATAGAGTTGGTTCAAACTACTTTTAAAACGTGTTCACACTAATATCCTACATTACTATGAGGTACAGAAGTGTATGTAATGTTCATGTGGATTTCATTTTTATATATTAACTTGTGGTACGGGCAAAGTAGTCATAAAGCTGTAAGTGTTGTTGATAGAATTGAATGAAAACATAAATGAGGTAGAGTAAATCTAATGGATTATTCCTCGTACTTCAAATAATCATTCAAGTATCTGTTGTTTGATGATTAATTATAAGGAATTATCATTCAGTATGATGAATGACGAGGGTGGTGCGAGCTACTTATAAGTAGTATATGATGTGAGTGTCAACGTAATGTCTGGCAGCATAATATGGGGGAAGATCAAGAAAGGGAGAGTTAGAAAACAATGGAATTTGTATGAAACGCATGAATAGTGACAATGGATTGATGTTTGGCAACAGGAACAGTCCAGTTCGATAGGATGAACTGATCTTTTGCAAATGAACAATTTACGATATGGTTTTCCGATTTTACTGAGTAACTCTGTAATTTCGCTAAATACAATTCGGTTGCCCCACCTGTGTTCTTCTTCAAAAGAGTTATCGTTTAAAGTTACAGTTAGAAATTTTACAGTCAGCATTTTCATCATTTTGCGTACCGAAATCCAAAGCTTCATTTATTATATCAATCAGACTGGTTCATCCGAAAATCGTTATTCTGCTTTCACTTTATTGAATATTACTTAATTTTTATCACTTTGAAAGTGGTAATTTACAAACACGGTAGAATAAAAACTAGGAAGGGCGAGAAAAAAAAATATTATTTTTAATTTTTCCCTATTGTTTGAATGATCAGCTGATTACTTAATGAATTCACTTTCTCATGTTTTCAATCTATTGACCTTTTGTCAAAATGCTTTGAAAGATACATTTCAGTATACACATATATTTTTATAGATATTTATTGCATAAGTAGCAAGCATTTAGTTAGTTAGATAGATGATTGTAAAAGTATCAAGAACACAACAATATCCATTTGAAATACATTCTATCCAGTTTTTGTTTTATCAAAATAATTCATCCCATCCAGATGTTTCATCTTCTGGCTCTTCAATTTCTTCTGGATATTCATCGAAATGTTTAAGATCACTTTGTGATGTTACCTGGCATAAACAAAAAACGATAAACTAACGGTAGACTAACAATTGGAATCTTCATATAAATTTACATTAAACAAATGCAAACAAGATTGTTTTAATTGATGTAGTACGGCGAAATTCAAGGTTCAGATGTTAAAGAGCTGAAAAAAATCTTAAAATGAAATAATTTCACAGGTCTTTGAGAATGATGATGATCTTATCAATTTTACTAGACGTAAACTATGAAGATATTGATCATAATCCGAGCAACTTCGAACCAACTGATTATGAACAAGTAGTTTTGTGCTATTAAGAACTAAAGTTTCTGAGAATCCTCAGTTTAAAACAAATCAGTTTTTTTTTATTGTTGGGGACATTAGATCTCCAGAACTCACTTGGTGAACGTCCAAATCTTGGATTTTATGTTTTCGCGCATGGGCCGATCAATTGACCTTCAGATTACATTTCCCACTCGGAAAATCCTTGACTGTCACTGGTTGATGGATTATTTTAGTAAGCAGTTTTTGTGGCTCTCCCAAGGACGTTGCTATCATGTATAAATAAACTCGATTTGTTTGCTTGAGAAACCTCGATTTTGAGGGTGCTTGTAGAGTACACTTTCTACGCCATATCAACACTTCTCTACTTAGTGGGGCCCTGGGATCAGAGTAGCCTATCGTGTCACTGGATCATTTGTCTCGCTCTCGTTAACCAACTAAGGTGAAGTCGTAATAGTTTCAAGCATATCAGTCGAGGAGCATGACATCTATGCTACTTTGTTTTTAGTCACTGATATCATTTGACGCTAAAATAATTTATTCAATCACATATCTTAATGAAGTAAAACGTTAAACAGTTGAAATATACATCAACCAGTGTAATGTTATTATCAAACTGATCATGTCAAAAAAACTAGTTTTCTTAGTTAAAGAACTATGAAACATGAAAAGAATTTCAGGTGAAACTTTATCTCATATAAGTACTGATAAGTATTTGTATATCGAAAGTAATACAGTTCTATAAGATCATTGTAGGCGTTCATACCAGTCGGTCCCTGAGTGATGAACAACGTCATATTATTAAATGATTGAATTTCTCCGAAACTTTAGTTCAAAAGTAATCGAATTTGTTGTTTAAATTTACCAATAACGATGATTAAGAGGAGCTAGTGAGACAGTAGTGTTATACACTCAAATATCAACCTACAATTGGAAAATGAATAAAGTCCATATTCATATTCCAGTTTATAATTATTAAGACTGAGATTAAAGTGTTAAGAATGAGGTTTTAGAATAATATTTCGGAGAAAAATGTTTGCAATGTATTTGCAAATCTCAGCTATTCATAATGAATATAAAACCCAATAGAAGTAAATTTTGAACTCTGAAAAAAACATGCATCATCTAAGCTGGCATTTAACCATGCTTGCGGAAACCACCCAACTGCACCACAAGACAAGCCTCCACTTGGAACCCTCTAGGTAAAAGGAAAGGAGGAGAACCAAGGAACGCAATGCGTCGAGAAAAGGGGACAGTGATGAGAAGAATGAACAAAGATTGGACAGAAAAGGTTGGAAAATACTGGTCGGCGACCTATGCTCCATTTGGGGGTAACAGGCCTAAGCAAGTAAGTAGGTAAGTAAGTAAGTAAGAACTTCCAGTAATAATAAAAAAAAAACAATTTGAATCACTTGTCTTTCATGTGGTGCTTTTAATGCTCGTTTACGTAATCCAACCCAATCGAATCCTTCGAACCATACATGTTTTTCAATTTCACGTAGTCCTTCTTTTCCAATGCCATATCGTTCAGTTGGATTTTCACTATGAAAATTAAAGAAATAGTGCTGTTTATTTTAACATTAAAATTGGACATAGATAAACTGCTAATTGAACATAGAAATTCTAGTAAATCGGAACCTTTGACCTTAGAACAAGGTTCATTGATGTTACTCTGAATCAGAATTTGTCAGTCAGTCAGATGCAACGTAGAACTTCGTACGTATGTACACCATTTCATGTTGCCATACCACATCAGCACAGAGATATAATTGTCAATTCAAATACCATAGTAGAAGAGGTAGTAAAGGTATTAGAAGTAATCGGAGAGGTTAGGATTAGAAGATATTATTCAAGAAGTATGGTTCAATGAGATAAGTTTAGAAAGTAAAAACTTGAGGTGTTGAAGAACCCAGAAGATTAGGATTTGAGAGAACACAAAGAATAAATGCACTGGCGCCATTGCGAACGATTTTGAGCCTTGTCATTCAGGGTATCTAGCCATCGATTATTATCATCTCGTGGATGCCAACCAGGTAGTCGACAATTACCGACATGGCTAAGTCCATTTGTCAATGGCTTCAGAATTGGTGACTGAAAGATTTTCATCTCACTGACTAACATCCGAAAATGTGGGTTTTTTATTTAGATTTTTCTTTTCACTAATAAAACTGATATTTTCTTTCCAAACTTTTTTATGCCGATATGCTTGAAACTGGAAAGTTTGTAAAAAATGTTACTGAAGGAACACCACTGCTTTTTACTCCCAGTGGCCATGCAATAACAATTCAAAAAGACAAAGTTGGATTATATTTCTATGGTACATATTAGCGAAACCCCTAGTGTTGATTAAAATCATATTATCAGTTACGGAATTTTAGAGAAGACTACTAATAGGAAGATGAGTCAAAAACCTAACAGCTAAAATTTAGTAAATATGTCGGCTTAAGCTTATCCAGTTAGCATTGAGCTGTTTTTCTTCACGACCATAGCTGCTACTTTGACGTGGTGGTCGGGCATGCCTATCGTGATGACCCAACCGAGCTATACTGGCTGGAACATATCTTCCTACAGGTCCTACCATGACAGGCTGGTCGATTGGAGAACGATGAGACTAAAAGCAGCTACTCAAGGTCTGATGGCGAAGTCTTACTGCTGACTGTAGAGGGCTGTGACAGCAGTAAGGTGTTTCCCTCGGACAACCAGCATCTGCAGCGATGCTGCCTTCTCACAAGGAAGGAAGGGTTAGAAAAGGTCGGCCCTAAAAATGTCACACCTCACCCTACCTCACGGATTTCCGTCTCCGTTCGTAAGGGTGCCCACTAAGGGCCTTTAAGAGCGGAGCTAATACTCAAAAAAACCCTTCATAAAAAGGTTGCGCGAGACCGGCCTCAAGCAGTTGTCCCTTGGGCTCTGCGTTCACGCACCCAGGTCTCCAAGACCAACGCTAATCTATCTTCGTTTTCAGGTCCCTCAAGAAACAACCTTCCACGATGTGGGCATCCGGGAAGTGAAAACCGCCCTCATACCCGTAACAGCACTGACTGACTGACTGATTTAGCTGTTTTCGATAGTTGAAAGAAGTAGTTAAATAATTCTCATCTTAACATACATGGAATCTTTATACATATTGATTTACTCATTAAATCTGCATATGAAATCTCTAACGGAATCTATCAACCAGCATATAATTACGGAATCAAATTTGAGAGAATTGAAAAGAGGATTTTCCAAGCGTTTCTTTAAAATCTATTTTCTTGAAGTAGATGTTTACTCATAGGCTGAACAAGAGTTTTCAACAAGTTAAACGTCAACACTTGATTTGTATTATTGAAAATTGAAATGATGCTTAGCGGTTAATAAGAAGACGCGGGTTACATGTTGTAGACTTTCAGAGGTAGATATTTTGTTAGTGATAATATATCTTAACTAAACCAAAGGCACTGTCTTTTAAACCAGAATTTTACTGAATGTCTTTACATCTTTGATCTACATATGGTATCGTTCGACTTCATGTTTAAAAAAAAACTGACAACATCAAGCAATTATTAGAAATAATTAAATGAATTAACTTACCGACAGAGTTTTTTAACTAAAGATTGAGCATTTCTTGACATTCTTGTTGGGAAATTTACAGCATCAATTCCTTTTAATATAATTCCATATGTACGCATTGTATCTGGTGATTCAAATGGTGGTCTAGGCGGGAAAAATTTATCATTGAAAATAAAAAAACAGATTCGAAGACGAAGTGAATAATTCACTACAGAATTTTTCACAGAGGCGTATATTCAATTGATTACATAAAATTAATTTGAATTGGTGATTTTAAGTAGAAGTCACTCTCATTCACTAGAGTTTCCTGTTTATTGTTGTTGTTTGATGCCTGTTACCCCCGATGGGGCATAGGCCGCACACCAGTTTTCTCCAACCAACTCTGTCCTGAGCTTCCCTTTTCAGTTCTGTCCAATTTTCGTTCATTCCTTTCATATCTTTCTCTATTTCTCGGCGTAATTTGTTCCTTGGCCTTCCTCTTTTCCTTTTGCCTTGAGGGTTCCATGTGAGGGCTTGTCTCGTGACGCAGTTGGGTGCTTTTCGTCACGTGTGTCCTATCCACTTCCACCGCTTCTTCCTGATTTCCTCATCCACTGGAATCTGGTTTGTTCTCTCCCACAGTTCGTTGTTGCTGATAGTGTCTGTCCGAAGTATTTTGCGAAGACAACTGTTCATAATACTTGTATCTTCTGGATGATGGCTTTCGTAGTTCTCCAAGTTTCCGCTCCATACAGTAGAACTGTCTTGACATTTGTATTGAAGATCCTGATTTTGGTGTTGATTGAAAGTTGTTTGGAGTTCCAGATATTTTTCAACTGTAGAAATGCAGCCCTTGCTTTGCCGATCCGCTCCCTCACATCTGCATCGGATCCACCTTGGTTGTCGATGATGCTGACCAGTTATGTAGAGGTGTTAACATCCTCCAAGGCATCTCCAACAAGCATGATTTGGTTGACGCATGTTGTGTTGTAAAGTAGAATCTTAGTTTCCTACACAAATAAAATTGTTTTTAACTGTCAGCATACCTACATAGTTAGAAAAAAAATGTTATTTTTTATGAGGTTTTAGTATTTAACTGTAAACCATTCATTTTCAGATTTGAATCATGCTCCGCCTTATTCACTTTAGTCAGATAAATAATTTTACTAGTTGACACATAAAAATGGTATTGCAAGTTAAGTGCATAAATTTACACTTGTAAAATATGTCACATTTGTATTTTTTTTTCTGCAATTACTTCAGTATTTCATTTACACTATTTCATATTAGTGATTTAAGAAATGTCATTTTGATTATGACATTTATTAACAGTTAAACAATATGACCACTCGTAAAGTTTATGTCAGATAATTATCTGTTCTTGAAAAAATGTCTAGTTTATTATGTAGACATTTAAGTAGGTACGTGAAAATATCCAAAACACTTTGACATTTCATTGTTGACTGCTAGATTAGACAAGTCAATCAATTAGCGAAAAACCTGTCAATGATTTTTAAATGATCTTTTTTTTTCAAGTGAAAGAACAACTGAGAATCCATTCATTACAAGAGGAATCTAGTTAAATGTTTTATAAGTAGACTTAGGAGGATTTGCTCAGAGCCCACTGACAATATATTATGGATGAAACGGGTTTTGAGCTGGTGGCAGAAATTTGTAGCTCAAGTGGATGATTGTGATGAAGTTTCGTTGCCTGTGCTGGATGTGTTTTGGTTGTGGAGCTTTCATGCTTCTTCTGAACAACAACATCATTAGCATGAACATCATGTAGAGAAGTGAAGTATTCGAACTTCTCCACGTATGACTTGTAGCTTGTTCTGATGACCTTGATGTTGATTGACCTTAAACCTGTTGTTGTTGTTGAATGCACCTTTATGTTGACTGTATTACATTGTATGTTATGTTATGATTGGAATACTTGAAAATTAATTCTTAAAAGGCAACAAGAATTCAAAAATAATAACTTCATCAAATTTAATTATTATTTTGATAATAAGATCAGATATCAGTGACTTTTATTTCATCTTAATTCTATGTTCAGCAATCAGTCAGCTTTTCATTGTATTTTATAAAGATATTAGCTATAATTTTCAAGACTGTATATAGTAGTTGAAATAGTAAAGTTTAGGTAATATTTGATATTATCTCATAAAACAGTTAGTGGTATAGAAATAGTTTCTTTGGTTGATCAACAGTTTAACAAAATACAAAGATTTTAAACAGTGGAAGTTAAATTGTTTAGCGGTGAATTTCAAAGCTATGGGAGATTCGACCATTCATCGATTCGACAGCAAATAGTGTATATTAGTATAAATTTGTAGCAAAACGGAAATAAATCAAAGGTCAAAGGAAAAGAGGAAGGCAAAGGAACACATTACGCTGAGAAATAGAGAAAGATATGAGAAGAATGAACAAAAAACTGGAAAGAACGGGAAAGAGAAGCTCAGGACAGAGTTGGTTGGAGAAAACTGATGGGCGGTCTATGCTCCGTTGGGGGTAACATGCGTAAGTAAGTAAGTAATATATTTTAATAGTAATATTAATTATATGAATAGCAATGGTTAAAAAAAAATCACTTACAAGCCTGTCAATAATTCAAATAACAATACACCTAATGACCAATGATCAACAGCAATATCATGACCTTTATTTAATATCACTTCGGGTGCCATATACTCTGGTGTACCACAGAATGTCCATGTTTTAGCTCCATATGGTAATTGTTTAGCAAATCCAAGATCTGTCTGTGATTAGTAGAGGGAAGTTAGAAAAATAAAGAAACTTTGTTAGAGGTGATAAACACAAATTAGAACCGGTTAACATTTCCTAAAGTTAGTTATTCAGTAATAAACGAATATGTAAGTCGGAAAATTTCCTAAAGTTTCAATTTTTGAGTCGAAACAAATTAGTATCTGTTTCATCTAGGTTTGCGATTTCTCGGAGATGTACATATACAGACTCACATGGGGTGAAACTGAGAATATTCTGGTTTTTATTTGAGAGAGTCACATTTTTAATACCAAGCATTAACCCAATGGTTCAAATCTCCAACATCAATAAACCAGTATTTGTTAACGAATTTTGGTTTACGCCACCAGAGTTATACTGTACCATTTCTGGCATAGTCGAATTTCACTGTTTCGGATTAGTTTAAACTTTTATTTGTTTGTCTCACCTGTTGGCTTACAGAGAACAAGGAGCATCAGATTTCGAATCAGTCTATTAAAATCTTTTCACACTATAGGCCTGATGCTCTGGTTGTTATCACAAACTAGTTTATGAGCTCAGATTACGGAAAAAGTTTCAGACAAAGACCGAAACAAGCCATTCACTAACGAGTGTTTTTTTTAATAACTTGTTAGCTGATGTTAATTCGTAGTGAAAAGTGAACTGTTGCTGCTAAACATTGTCTACAAATTCCATAACTAACACTGTGTTTACTTCTCAGTGTGCCAGTTATATTTCAAGACAAAGCAAACTATCTAATCAGAAATTCTAGTGATGTAAAGATTTTGATAGGACAACGAGAAGATGTAATTCATCTGAAAAATGTGATATATTTGCACTAAACATTTTGAACACTCTGGTCAAACAGACAAGGCATGTTAAGGCATTTTATTTGAAATTAATGAAAGGTCAATTAAATAAAATGGTCCGTTTGAACTTATTTTAATTGATCTTAAGTATATGTGCTACCAGTTTGTTTGAAATTTATAGCCCAAATACATCATACTTTTCAGATCAACTACATCTCATTGTTCTATGGTGGCCAAAGTATCACTAGTTTCGTGACGGTCGGTATTCAACGTGTTCTTAGACTTCGTTATTTGCTCGTTCAAACAATCGTTACTAAAATAAATCAGAAGGCGAACACGAAGCGTTGAATACGTTTATTTTCGGACACACCACAAATAGACCAGCAGACCACAGGCATGTAAGGATAAAATCGATATGTGAGCACCGGAAAGCAAACAATTGAGCGAGTGAGCAAATTGGCACACTGGCGGATGAATGAATATGACTAACATGGTCATAGTAAAATGTTTGAGTCATCAAAATTTTTAAGAGGTTAACATTCAAGCGAGTAGGATGAATATTTGCGTATGCGGTGAGCAATGTTCCAGCGTACCAGCTCATACAAACCAGACAATAATGATAAAAGCCAATAGTACATATAAGTTATTGTTATACAAATGGCTTGGTTAAATAAATTAATCGAAAGGCTTGACCAAATTCAATATGAGCGAATTCAAATATATGTGGAGGCACTACAGTTCTGTCAAAATTTATAAAACGAAGTAATTGTTTTAAATTTTTGAAAAGATGTAACAATTACTTACACATTTGAAATTATCAATCGATCATTGTTAGACCACCATTAGAAACCTGGAATCACTGGACGGCCGTTTCATCCTGGTATGGGACTCATCAACAGTGCGCATCCACGACTCCTGCACCACGTAGGATTCGAACCCGGGAGTTTCGGCATTGTGCGCGAACGCCTAACCATCGGACCACTGGGCCAGCATTCAACGGTGCTAATGTCGAACTCTGATTGATCTACGGATGCGCACTGCTGATGAGTCCCATACCAGGATGAAACGGCCGTCTTTCAGTGCTTCCACGTTTCTAATGGTGGTCTAACAATGATTGATTGATGATTTCAAATGTGTAAAAACACAAATCGCCAAAGCTCTAACTGAAAAGTAACAGCTATTCGTTTAATTTATATGATGAATCAGAAGTAATGTTTATCATATACTTACAAGTTTACAATATCCTTGTGTATCCAACATAATATTTTCCGGTTTTAAATCACGATATACAATATTTTTCCTGTGTAAATAATCCAATGCTTCAACTACACATGCAACATAGAATTGTGTAGCTTGTTCAGTAAAAAAATATCTATTTTATACAATAGGAATAGATAAACAGATGCGAAAATCAATACTCGAATACACAAATTAGTTAATATGCAAGAAATATCAAATAGTGAGTTGAATGAATTAAAAAAGAATAAATTGTTTAGTAATTGGCGATACTAAAATAAAGCTTGCCACTTTTAACTGATAACCAAGATACATTAGTGTGAGATGAGATTTACTGTTAGTTTCAACTGAATTGCATCGAAAAGACGTAACTTACCTACAAACTTAAGCCTGTTACCCTTAGTGGAGCTTAGGCCGCCGACTAGGATTCTCCAACCAACGATCTTCTGGGTCTTTTGTTCTAGTTCTGTTCAACTGTTGTTCATTCTTTTAAACTCTGTCTCCAATACTTGACGTAACGTGTTCTGTGGCCTTCCATTTTTCCTTTGAATAGGAGGATTCAGAGTGAGGGTTTGTCTTGGGCGCTTTTTGCAATGTATGCCCTATCCACCTCCAGCACTTCTTCATGATTTCCTCCTCCGCTGGAATCTGGTTTTTTCTCGCCCACAGTAGGTTGTTGCTGATGGTATCTCACTGACAGATCTTCAGAATGTTGCGTAGACAACCGTTAATAAACACATGTATCTTGTGGATGATGGCTTTGGTTGTTCTCCAAGTTTCCGCTCCACAGTTAAGAACTGTTTCGACAGTTGTGTTGAAAGTTATGACTTTGATGTTGTTTGATAGCGGTTTTGAGTTGGAGATGTTATTCAATTGTAGAAATGCAACCCTCGCTTCACCAATCTACGCCTTTACATCGTTATCAGATCCACCTTGCTCATCAACGATACTGCCCAAACATGTACAGGTTTTTGCATCTTCCAAAGCTTGACCGTCAAGCGCAACCTCACACATTGTCTTCAGTAGTTACTGTCTGCACTCAACACATATCATTAGAACTCCGAAAATTAACTCACAAAGCTAGTCACTAGTGAACACACTTTATATTTTTTCATTATAGAGTTATCGAGATGATTATTTTATACTGAAATCATGAACAATGCAGATTTACTTGATTTATTGACAGTTTAATAATCAAAGTACCCATTTTAAAATGTAATCAGTTAGTTTAGTAGAAGTTAGTGATTTTATACAGAACTAGTATATATGTAAATATATATATTCTTGAATCGGTGTCAGGCAAGGTTGTTTACTCTCACCCTTTCTCTTTCTCCTGGTCATCCATCGACTGGATTATGAAGACGTCGACATCTGGAGGGAAGCACGGTATCAACTGGACAGTTAGGACGTAGCTGGACGATCTGGACTTCGCAGATGACTTGGCTCTTCTATCGCACACTCAACAACAAATGCAAGAGAAGACGACAAGTGTAGCAGCAGCCTCTCCAGCAGTAGGTCTCAACATACATAAAGGAAAAAGCAAAATTCTCCGATGCAACACAACATGCACCAACCAAATCACTCTTGATGGAGGTGTCTTGGAAGGCGTTAACACCTTTACATATCCGGGCAGCATAATTGACGAGCAGGGTGGATCTGATGCAGATGTGAAGGCGCGGATCGACATAGCAAGGGCTGCATTTCTACAATGGACCAACATCTGGAACTCAAAACAACTATCAACCAAAACCAAAATCAGGATTTTCAATACAAATGTCAAAACAGTTCTACTGTATGGAGCGGAAACATGGAGAACTACGAAAGGCATCATCCAGAAGATACAAGTGTTTATGAACAGTTGTCTACGCAAAATACTTCGGATTCGTTGGCCAGACACCATCAGCAACAACGTACTTTGGGAGAGAACAAACGAGATTCCAGTGGATGAGGAAATCAGGAAGAAGCAGTGGAAGTGGATAGGACACACACTGTGAAAAGCACCGAACAGAGTCAGAAGGCAAGCCCTCCTATGGAACTCTCAAGGCAAAAGGAAAAGTAGAAGGCCAAGGAACACATTACGCCGAGAAATAGAGAAAGATATGAGAAGAACGAACAAGCATTGGACAGAATTGGAGAGGGAAGCTCAGGACAGAGTTGGTTGGAGAAAACTGGTGTGCAGCCTGTGCTCCATTGGTTGTAACAGGCGTAAGTAAGTAAGTAAGTAAGTAATATATTCTTGAATGATAAAAATTAAACTGGTCGTTTTTAAAAGATTTGCAACTAAAAATGTTTATGATCAGTCAACAGAAAAAAATGGATCAAAATCAAATCAAATTGGGTTAATAATAAACAATTGTTTGTCAAACATTCAAACAATTCAATGTTTCAATATGTTTTGTTAGTTAGTTCAATGTTCATGAACATTTTTACAATAAATGAGATGTCGTTAATGTATGGCTGTTTTTTTGTATTAGTACATTCTTTTAGTAATGATTTGTTTATATTTATTCATTGAAAATAAAAATTAAATTTATTGAAAGACATTAACAGATACAACGCAGAACTTCGTACATAAGTACATCAGTTCAGGTTGCCATACCACGTCAACAAAGAGACACGTAACTGTCAGTTCAAGTCCGATAGTGGTAGCGATAGTAGTAGTATTAGCAGCAATGGAGAAGATTAGGGAGCAAAGATAATGATTCGAAAAGTATAATTCAGTGAGATAAATTTAAAAGGAGAAAGATAGAGATGATGAGGAATTCAGAAGGTTAGAATTAAAAAGCACACAAAGACTGGATGCACCTGCGCCATTGCAAACGATTCTGAGCCAAGTTGTTCAAGGTCTCTAACCATTGGTGACTTTCGTCTCGCGGACCACAACCAAGTAGCCTACATCTACCAACATGACTCAGTCCACTTGTTAGTGACTTCATGCATTTCTGCCATGTTTTGGTCTGGCCGCGCTGAACAAGCCCGACCACTACGTCAAGGTTGCAGCTACGGTAGTGAACAAATTAAAGGAAACGGATAGTAGAATTCTATCATCAGAAGTTAGAACCATGGCAGAACAAGGTATTTGATAAATTGATCTTCAGGGTTATACAGTTTGCGAGAAGAGTTTTAGTCACACGGAGAAATTGATAAAATACTACTTATTTCAAGTTCTTGTTTACTTTTTAAATAACTTTCAATGTTCAATCTATCGTAATTGAATCACCAATGTTAACAAAATGCTCATAGAATGAGCACCATTTTTAAGATTAAGTGAACTGACAAATGAACAATGAATTATTGTAAATGATCAATTTTTATTTTTGTTAGAAATTTATTACTCTCAGATCAGTAATTTATAATATATTTCTCCAGTTGGAAATAACTTTGTTTAATTCATACTAAAAACGTATTCTGTTAGACATGTACCACTAGTTAATACTTTTCCGCATTATAGTTTTATGAAGATCGCTATTTTACACTGAAATCATGAATTAATCGTTGTTAGGACCATTGGCAATCAATCTTATCGAGTGTGGACTGTAACTACCGAAGACAATGGGTGAGGTTGCACAAAATTCTTAGATTGATCAGAATTGTATGGTGGTCCGGCAGTTAAGCTGTCGCGCATCAAACCCAAGACCATGGGTTAGAATCCTGTGAGTAGCAGGATTCGAGGATACACACGGCTGATGAGTCCCAAACCAGGAAGAGACGGCCATCCAGTGCTTCCAGATTTCTAATTGTAGGCCTAACAATAATTCATTCGTGGTTCTAATATAATTAATTCGTCTAGTATGTCAGCTTGTATTATACTAAATAAAGCATATATTTCAGTTTGTTACTTTAGGTAAATAACCATTTAAACAAAAGAGTTTACTTTCGCTAGATAAATCACTTTCAATTTCCTTAAGAAAAGTAGCGGTTATTTTTAAATTATTTAATTTACTTATTTTGATTTTATCAAAAATATAAATAAGACATGTAACTTCTTGTTCAATTATAGTCTAATTTCAATTATCTATTATAGCAGTCATATCTTTTCATTTTCGAGTAAAAAAATCTTCGAAAATATTGTTTCTCAAACTGTATAAACAGAAATTCTTAAACGTTTGATAGATGAGGCTATTTTTTGTGGCTTAACCAAACAATATTGAACAGAAGTCAGGAAATATCATAAACAAAAAGTCGAAATCGTAAAATTTATAACAAAATAAATAATGAGTTAGTTTGATGGTTTTATATTTTGTTATTATCAGAGATGAAAAAAACAACTAGAATTCGCAGAATTCATTCTACTCCAAAGCTTCTTATCAGCTGTGTGTGTAGCGTAAAGTTACAACTCCTTGTAAGGTCAAAACTACTGACAGCTGATAAAAAACTTTCAAAATAGAATAAATTGTCTTTTTATCTTAGAAAAAAAGTCTTCTGACTGTTGTTTTTTAGTCAAATTTAATCAAGCATGAAACCATTGTTTAGTAGATTTAGTAGTAGAGAACAGAAAAAAAAATCAATAGCCGAATCAATCGCTGATTGGCTACCACAAAAACACAAAACCAACAACAACTGATCTCATGCAAATTATTCCATAACAAGAAAAACAAATAGAAAGAAGTATGCGTACAGACGAACCCTTTTTTTGTCCTATAATATAAATGAATTGTAGGCAAAAGCGTTAAATGTTCAAAATAATTTAGAGCAATGAGATCATACGTATAGCATCAATTCATTGATATTACTAGGAGGTATATAAACAGTACAAAATAGGGATTTTTACGTATATGATCGATATAGGGTTCGTATCACTGAAATTAGGTTATGGATAAAATTCTTAGTGAGAATCGATCAACAAGAGATGGATAGCTATTCTAATCGATTTTGGGATTACTCCATGGCTATGATCCGTTTGAAATGCATGCAATCCACAATCTCAAAGCTCAGTCCGATAGCCGATCTAAAACCAAGCAGTTAGATTGATTCAAACAGCTAACATTAGCACTGTCCCATCGAGCATATATATAAGAAGAAGGCAACGCGCTCAGAAGTACCCCGAGACTGGTTCTCATCTCCGTTCAAGAAATATCCTCCCCCAAAAGCAGCAAACAACAATTCAGATCCAATTGAACTGTCGTGTGTCGCTACAATTCCTTCAGAGGGAGGTGTTAGGGTATTCATCCGATATCCTAAGGGAATTGCCGGTCAAATCCTATTGGTCGATTTCTTTTGGTCAAAATTATGGTCGTTTTAACTGTCAAGGTCAAATACTTTAATGTTGTCTCTTATTGGTCGTCCGGACTGTCAATGTAATTGGTTGTCCTGACTATCAATGTCACTTCATATGTTAATTCCTATTGGTCGTCTTAACTGTCAATACCACAGAATTCGATACTGTTTCCTATTCGACCAAAATGTATAAATACGCATTATCTGTAACGTTTTATGACCACAACCAGGACCAGGGCTCGGTCCCGGATCCCTAGTCCGGGATCCTGGTTCTCCCCTGGATTCGGACCTCGTACATTTTGGATGCTTGTAGAATAAAAGTTCTACTTGATATCAAGTCTTCTTATTTTTACTTATTGTGGGGAGGGGGCGGGGATAATTGGATTTGAGTACTATGTCGTGTCACCGGATCCTCGATCCTCGCTCTCGTTTTCCGATTAGGTAAACTCGTAATAGTTCAAGTATTATTATATCATAACGAAACGTTATTTATTGCCAAGGTCAGTAAATTCTCAATCGATGAAGAGAACTAGTGATCTATAGAATCCAGTATATTGTCGATCATTGGAAAACTAACTTCATTTGAAAGTGTTTATGACGTAAAATTCTGACTTACTTACACAATAATATATGGTACTCCCCATGAAATCTGTTCACGATAAAATCTAATTTCTTATTCAGTTTACATCAGAAAACAAATGATTCTTGCTAATCTTACAAAGTTATAGGTTTTGAACTATACGGTCACTATAAATCTACATGAATTGGAAAATACCTTATAGGTATTTATTAGACTTGATATTGTATAGTTTGATCTCTTACGTTCCTTAATAATTTTATGGATTACAGAATTATCAGCATTAAAATTGTCTAATGATTTCATTTTGTTTTTGATTATTGGTTCAACTGAAGATCTTAAATCTACTTCATTCAAATGAAACTCTTCACTTTTCATGTCCCCCCTGAAACACATTTTTTATTAACAGACTATACATTACAAAAATATCATTTGAAAATTGCTTGAATAAACAGCACACATGTATTCTGAACAAACTAGAAAAGTAATTAATGTACTTTATGCTATCTAATAGCTTATTTAGAAGAGTAATTATATTGGAGTGAACATTTGCTTCATTTTGAACCTAACTCAAAACAGACTACTGAAAACACCAGAAAGTAGTTTAGTCTATAACAGTTGTAATTAGAAGTTAGTTTTCATCACAGACTAATGTAATCTGGATGGCGAATTAATTATTCACTGAGTACTAGATGGGTGTCTTGTTTCAGGTTAATATTTTTTCTTCGTTCTCATGAATCACTTAAGTGGTTGAATCAAAGATCATGGAGATTGGAATCCAAAGGTTGGCTAAGCTAGCTGCAACCAATTAGCGATATTGTAAGTCGACGATCCGATACCATTTATGGTATTCGCTCGAACTTCAACTTGACTGAATTTCATTGATCACAGCTTCTCAGTCGAATATTTGAAATTCACCCCAAAAATAGTTACAAATAAGGTTGGGGGTTTGGTGAGACTGTCCAATTTATAATTATTTCTCATTAGTGGTTAATTGTAACGTTGTTATGAAACTTAAGGTTGTGTGAAGTTTGTTTTATCTAAATTTATTTTTAATTCAAGACAAATACAAACAGTGATATGTAATTTTAAAAATACTAGTGTGAATTTCTGAACTATTCACCGTAAGATATCAGAAATGTTACATGATTATACGTTCAGTTTATTATTTCTGAATGCTAAGTGGAAGTAGAAACCATCGCTGTCATCCAGCCTGATCCAAAATGATAAGGCACAAATAAATCGTCGTTTTCCACTGTGATTAGATTTAAATAACAGTACAGTTTGACATTTTCTAAACTGATGTCAACATTTGGGAAATAAGTATTATTGACATTTTGAACAACTAGAGTTGTAAATAAACGACTGCGCTTTTGAAAAATTTGCGCTAAATACTTATATTTTAAAAAAAGGAAACATAATTAATACATACTCAGAAGAAATTTAAAGTCACATGATGGATTTCATCAGTATTAGCTAACTAACTAACTTACTTATCTTTTAGAAGAGACCAAAGTTCACCACCCAAACATACTTCCAGTAATAAATAAACATATTTATTGTCTTTGAATGTTTTACATAATCTAAAAAGAGAAGAGACAATAAAAAGAAACTGAAGTACAAATGAACAGTATTGTTTTCCTAATAATAATCTGTTGACAGGTTTTGTTTTTTTGAATAAATAAATCAAATCAAAGATGAACATTTAGTGTTGGCGTTATATTCAAAGTAAGGCTCCTTTTTGGGCGGACAGTCGAGTATACTATGAAATAAATCTTTCCTTTCATTTCCATCTATCATAATACTTAGGCACACACCGTTTTAGCAATGGGGGTCATGAAAATTCAAGTACGGTTGTGTGGAAAAATTTATTCCAAGCTAGGGAATCTCAAGACAGAGTAGGTTGGAGAATACTGGTTGGCGGTCTATTCGCTGTTGGAGGTAACAGGCTTAAATAAGTAAGTAATCGTTCATGCAGACAAACATGAGAACGAAAAGTGTTCAAACAGAGCGAAGCAATGCGGTTCTGTCCAATTTTTGTTTATTTTTCTCATATTTTTCTCCATTTCTCGGCGTAATGTGTTCCTTGGTCTTCCTCTTTTCCTTTGACCTGGAGGGTTCCATATGAGGACTTGTCTTATGACGCTGTTCGATGCTTTTCCCAGTGTGTGCCCTATCCACTTCCACCTCTTCTTCTGATTTCCCCCTTCACTGGAATCTGGTTTGTTATCTGCCACAGTAGGCTGTTGCTGATGGTGTCTGGCCAGCGAATCCAAAGTATTTTGCGTAGACAGCCATACCCAGATTTATATGCAATCATTAGGCATCTAGTAACTCCCTGTGTGATGGCGATTAAGCGTTTGAGTAAGATACGTTATCTGTAAAACATTACATATACATACACGAGATATTTGTGCGTACTTGTTCCCAGTTTCATGTAGTCTAGTTTTTTTCGTGTTGATAGATTTCGAAAAACAGACAGTTAATCTTATAATCTTTGTTCAAGTACCAGATAGTAGAAAAATTAACTGAACAGTAACATTGAATGAAGTGTTGAACATATAAATATTGAAATATGAACGGTTTCGAGTATATCACTTTATCATTTAGAGGTGAAGCATATGGTCTAATCTTAAGACAGAGACTAAAAGCAGCCACAGAGAAGACATAAAACCCTGCTAAACTGATGATCATTTAAAAGACTAAGTGCATGATTTCACATAGACCTAAACGTTGCTCGAATGATTACATCACATTCAGTTGCATTTATCAGTTTACATGTTTGTGTGGATACACATATATACGGAGTAGTAATCAGACCTTGCAATCAAGGGTTATGGAACATGTACCTAGGTGGCTTCAAAATCAGTTAACGTCAGATGAGCCGATTAGCTTTGGAAATAGAAAACCATGTTCATCGATCGCAAAACATATGATTGAGACAATGCATAAGATTGCCATCAAGACAGCCTTCAAAACATTGTATAGAAATGTTGAAGGACGAGTTTTGAGGTTTATGGAAGCCTTGGCTATTCGAAATAGTATTTTATATAAATAGATATAAACTATTCTTCACTATAGAGTTATGGAGATTACTGTTTACTACTGAAATCATGAAACAATCATTCTCAGACCACCATTAAAAACCTTGAATCACTAGAAGACAGCCGTTTCGTCCTGGTGTAATGCGACTCATCAGCAATGCTCATCCACTAATATAATAAGTTGTTGGGGATGTTAAATCCCCAGAACTCGTTTGTAAATATCGTTATTTTGGATTTATTTCATGGACTGATCAGTTGACCTTGAGATCACATTTCCCACTAGGAAAATCCTTGTCTGTGATTGGTCACTGTGTCATTTTAGTGTGCTATTTTGTGACTGTCCCAAAGACGTCTCTATAGAGTATGAATAAACGCAATTTGAGTGTTTGGATTCATTGTATGCTGGCTGGGTGTTTGTAGAATACAGTTTCCACACTATATCAAGACTTCTAGCTGATAAAATTTGGTGAAGGGATCACAGTAGCCTACCTGGACGCCAGTTCATTGTTTTGTTCTCGTCTATTCGACTAAAGGTGAACTCGTCATAGTTTAAAAGCATGCCTAGAGATGAGCATAACATAAATAGAGTTTATCATAGAAACACTCACTTCTCTTACCTTACAATAAAATCACAATCTGTATGTAACATAATATTACGTTCATTCATTACATGTTCTTCCTGTTTCGTCTCTACAACATGCTGTTTTTTCATTTTTTTTAAAGCATACGTTTTCGATTTATCACTTCCTATACAAACCTATAGGTAGATTAAAACAGAAACAAAACAGAATCAAAACAGATTTTTTTTGAAAAAAAAACGCTTTCGAAACGTGAATTAATTTCCAATTACACATATGATAATGATATGATACAATATGATATGCAATTATCATGGTTTTTTAAAAATTTAAAGCATAATGTTGAACAAAAGAATGCGTTTATTTTTTCGAAGTTTCAATCAAAATTTATCCCATGATAAATGATGATTGAAATCATCAAGTAATCATTGTTAGACCACCATTAGCAATGTGGAAAGACTGGATGGCTGTTTCGCCCTGGTCTGGGACTCATCAGAAGCGCGCATCTACGACTCCCGCTACTCTCATGATTTGAATCGATGACCTTCGGTATTGCGCGCGAAAGTCTTACCTCCGAACCACTGAGCCGATATCCAACGGCGTTATTGTCTAACTCTAATCAATCTAAAGATTTTGCTCAAACGCATTCACTGTCTTCAGTAGTTACTGCTTACATACGACAGAGTTGAAATCCGCTGGTCTAGAGGGTACTCATCTGCTCGCAAGATTGAAGGTCCTGTGTTCGAATCCTGCACGTTGCAGAAGTCATGGATTTGCAGAGCTGGCGAGTCCCGTACCTGGACGAAACAGCCGTCTAGAGCTGATTGGTTGCCAATGATGATCTAGCAATGACTGATGCATGATTCCAGTAATAATAAACGTAATCTATCATATTCCTCACAACAGTGTAGATTGTAATCTTCATACTAAACGCTATACAATAATTTAGCTATTGTCTATATTGCAACCTAATCTTTGCAATTAGACAACATTTGTTCCCAATACTAATGAATTTATGGATTATAGTCATATAAAAGCTTAGGCACAACTTCAATGCCTCAGGGGTAAGCTGATTGATTATGACATTGAGTAACATGGCTATAGATCACAGTGCAAGTAGTAGTTTCTTCATGACCATAAACAGATCATGCTAAAACGTACTTAGTAAAAGGCGATTCCAGACTAAGGTTTTGTGCAAGTTATTTGCAACTACTTAGAAGTTATGTATTTCAAAACAAATATCTATTCAGAAAATTAAGATATAACATGCATCCTGAAAAACCTGTCAGAAAAGAAACCAATTTGCATGTATCATATTCTTCATACTTACAAGTTCAACACGACCGAAACCACCAGCGCCTAAAGTAGCCATAATTTTTAAATCTTTCAATTGTAAGTCTTGAAATTCTGGTTTATATTCTTCAATTCTAAATGAAAAATTAATATACAACAATAAATAGTACTTTCGTTTATTGTAATAATTAGTAATAATCGTAATAATAATAATAATAATAATAATAATAATCAGAAATGATAGTTGTCCGCATTTGTATATTTACGAGCTCGAACTCTGAATGCAGGATAGTAGATAGGAATATGTTAATAGTAATGATGAAAGATTTTATGATACATGACCCTAACTGGCAAGATGTTTCTGTTATTCTAGGATTACTGAGTTTTGATATAAATATCAAGCGTAATCGGTTGATTTTTGTTTGGACCAAGTGTGGTGTGTGCTACTTATACGAACGATATAAGTAGTATAAGAAGGGACGTGAAAGAAGTCTCACGGTCAGAATAGGAAAACGGAAAGCAAATGGAGCAAAAAGCAAGCAAGTACCAACAGGAAGTAAAGGAAGCAACAACAGGAATGGAAGAAGGATGGAGCGTTGGAAGTCACGACTCAAAGATGGTGTGCAAATAGAGTGTTCAATGTAGTGTTTTCGTTTTTAATTGACTAAGAGTGTAAATTTGCATAATACAATCTTCCGCGCCTGCCTCAGTCTTCTCACAAGAACTAGATAATACAGTATCGATTAGTAAATAGATACAAATTCATTTAGATCATAGATTGGTTGATTGTATGTATCATTTGATTCTCTATGGGATCCACAATTGTTTCCTAACTGTCATGTTTCTTGCATTATGGGGATGTGGAGATCATTGTTTTCCATTGAAACTGTGAATCAATCATCCCCCAACCACCATTAGACGGCAGTTTCTTCCTGGTACGGAACCCACCAACAATGAGCATACACGATTACTGCAGCTCGCCGGATTCGAGACTTGGTTTTACAGTCTTGCACACGAATGCTAAATCTTTAGACCACTGAGCCTGCATCGAATGGTGTTAACGTCTAATTCTTATCAATCTTAAGGATTTTGCTCAATTTCATCCACTGTCTTCGATGAGCACTGCTTTACATCCGAACACGATTGAACCTCATTGGTTGCAACTTATCAGTAGAACTTAGAGAAACTTCCTCGCGTTTTTGTAATGCTAACGATATCTAATTATACAAGGTGGATACATAATCTCATTACTTGTCGTTCATTGTTTTAAAAACTATGTTACATAGACAGATTTCTTTGATGATAGATCTCGTTGGTTTTTCTATAACTTAAGGTTCATATCAATGGATATAAAATGAATCAATAAGGAAACTCTTTTTTATTTGATTCGTACATTTGATAAATCATAGATGTTTCACAACCTAAAAGTTTTCCTTCAAACTTTTTCCAGCAATAATTAATACACACTTTACATTTCCACGCATTTAAGTATCAAAGTTATAACAATTTTTTTTGCGCCAGTATAAAGTCCTATAAAGCTGTATTAATGCTAACCACTTCAGATTCATTTCATTTTGAGTTTACTAATCAAACTTTACACTATCCATCATGTATATCTGCATATATACGTTAGAAAACCTACAGTTATTACATAATTAGTTACTATTTCTAGTATAACATAGATGAGATACTTCAAAATTGTCCTATCATGTCATTTCTTTCTGGAAAATGACTGAAAAACTATTTAAAATTAACTAAAATTATTATCTTGTGAACTTTCAGTTTACAACTTTATTTGATAATTTCTTTTTAATTAAACAAAAACTTACGTCGGTTCTTGTGGTTTTTCTTGTGAATATCGTCTTTTCAAAGCAGCTAAATCAGCAATCAAAAGACTATATGATCTAAGAAAATAAAAGTGAAGGAATTTAAAGGCAATAATTATTAAGGATTTATGAGAAGAATGTCAGTCTGTGTCACTCTTGATATTCTTATTATAAACCGCTTTACTTTTTGAAAGACCAAACAAAATTAACTGAAGAAAATAATTTAAGTCGTTATATTAGAATTTTCAATGTATAAATGCCGAATGTTGTGAACTTAGTAAAATGTGAATTTATCATTAACGTCATAGAGCAACTGATAATGTATTCTTCGATATAGATTAAGATTCTTTAATATTCATTATTGAGAGTAGGCGAGAATAAGAAACAAAAGAACAGCTCTAGGTTGTGAATCATTGTTTTTATTTACTTGTTCTCTTTTAATCAACTCGCAGCAGTTGTATTGAATATTGAATAAATGAACTGCGCAAACTGAGTTAATGTTAACAATGGTCAGTTCTGATTTTCAATAACAGAGGTCAAGAAGTGATCTGCATAGTCAAAGAAGGGATTAAATTTTACTAAATGTCGAACAAATGATTATGGTTAGTCTTTTTTTTCAAATTCGATATTCTATTGAGACCTTGATGTTGGCTAGTGATAAGCAATATTTTAATAAGGACTGGTTCAGAAGAAAAAGTGTGATTTGAACTGCCTGTCTTATGCGAAATTATTAGATGTTAGATCTCCAGAATCTTTGTTTTGCATTCATCTCATGAACCGACCAGTTGACCTTGAGATCACATTTCCCACTAGGAAAATCCTTGGCTCTGATTGGTCACTGTGTCATTTTAGTGTGCTATTTTTGTGACTGTCTCAAGGATGTCTCTATAGAGTATAAATAAACGCAATTTGAGTGTTTGGATTCATTGTGTGCTGGCTGGATGTTTGTAGAATACAGTTTCCACACTATATCAAGACTTCTTACTGATACCTTTTGGTGAAGGGATCAAAGTAGCCTAACTGGACGCCGGGTTCATTGTTTTGTTCTCGTGTACTCGACTAAGGTGAACTCGTAATAGTTTAAGTATACCTAGAGACGAGCGTAAAAGCTATCGATAATAAGGAATTTCGAGCATGATTTTTTCCACATCAAAGATCGCTACATGCGTTTTGCATTCCTCCCTAATATTCTGTAGTGTCTCCACAGACATTTGAGTTCGCTTATATTTAATTTGGTTAAGCCTTTCGATTAATTTATTGAACCAAGCCATTGACATAACAACAACTTATATGTAGCATCGGTTTTTACTATTGTCTAGTTTGTATGAGCTGGTACCACTGAACATCGCTTACAGCCTACGCACATCTTCATCCTATTCGCTTTAATGTTAATCCACTAAGTAACTCGACGACTCAGACATTTTCCCATGTATGTGTGGTGCTGTGGTGCGAACTACTTATAAGTAGTATATAGCGTGAGTGTCAACGTAAAGTCTGGTAGCATAATATGGGGGGAAGATCAAGAAAGGAAGAGTCAGAAAACCATGGAATTTGTTTGAAACGCATGAAGAGTGACAATGGATTGATGTTTGGCAACAGGAACAGTCCAGTTCCATAGGATGAACTGATCCTTTGCAAATGAACGATTTACGATATGGTTTTCCGATTTTACTGAGTAACTCTGTAATTTTCGTTAAATACAATTCCGTTGCCTCCACCTGTGTTCTCATTCACTACATATGTAATGAACATTTTAGTCGTAGTAATTCATTCACCAGTTCGCCCACCAGCTTGCTAGTGTGATTGCCATGTTGTGTGTGTTTATGGTCTGATGGTTCATTTTGTGGTGTGTGCGAAAATAAACGTATCCAACACTTCGTGTCCACCTTCTGATTTAAAACTTTCACGCGCTAGTTAGTAACGATTTTAAGGACGAGCAAATTATGAAGTCTAAGAACACGTTGGATACCGACCGCCACAAGACTAGTGATACCTTGCACACCACAATTCAACGGTATGTACTTATGATTCTACATCAGACTGACCTTATTCTGACAAGCATTACGACAGCATACTGGAACCATCTACAAACTGTGTATTCTAAGAATATAACATTTTTCATAGTATTCAAAATCTCGTCTGTTCAATCTATTTGTTGAACAATAAAATCAATAAATTACCATTTCTATCAAGTATATTAATAATGGTATACAGTAAAATGTAAGTGATAAAACACTAATTTATACCAGTTCAAAAGAATGTTACATATCTCTGAAAAAAAGTCAATATTTGAAACTTACTCTAAATCCAAAGCTAAGCATGTTACTCCTTCATCTCCAGTGGCAATAATATTCGCTGTGCGTAAGTTATCACTAAATTATAAAGTAAAAAAAGTAGATTTAATCGTTTTTTAGATGAAAATAAGTTCAATGTTAAGTAATCAACAAGATTAGTATTTCCGGCTTGATTTCCTGATGGTGTATAGAATGAAGACTGAACTTTTGTCTGAAATAAAGATTAATTATGTTGTTTAAAACAACATGGAATGGTTCTCACCTAAGCTATATATATCACTCGATGGATGTCACGAAACCAATATTTTTATCAACAATAACTACTACATTTATTGATGTATATTGTTGTGGTGTTTCGTTCTCTGAGCTGGACCTGTTTCGGTTGTGGAGTTTTCGTTGTGCTTCTCAACAACAATATCATCAGCACAAACTTCAAATAGAAGAAGAAGTGAAGTATTCGAATTTCTTCACATTTGACCTGTAGCTTGTTTTGTTAAGCTTGCGATCCTGATTGGTTGCTGTTGACTTTAATTCACTTCTATTCGAAGTTTGTGCTTATGATGTTGTTCAGAAGAACAACGAAAGTTTTACATATTTTTTGAAACCATGAATCGACCAATGTTAGACCACCATCAGAAACCTGCAAGTACAGGACCGCCGTTTCGTCCTAGTATGGGACTCCTGCGCTCCACAGGATTCGAACCCAGGACCTTCGGTATTGTGCGTGGACGCCCTAACATTTAGACCACTGAGCCGGTACCTAGCGGTGTTAATGTCTAACTTGATCAATTCACTGAGTTGCGAAACCTCATACACAGTATTCAGTAGACACTGCCTATACCCAAACAGGTTGAACTTCACTGGTCACGTCTTCCCACTGGCAATCGGAGAAGATTCCTCACGAAGCTAGTCACTAGTAAGCACAGGTAATTTGCATTACAGGTTTCAAAAATGTTTAACTTAACAATCTTCACCACCCCGTAATGCAAAAGTTCCACAACCGAAACATCCAGCTCAGAGAACGAAACACCACCACAATCACCCATCTGTGCTACAAATTTTCTCCATCACTGGATCTATATTTATTGTATTAGATATTTAGCTGTATCCAGTGCTCTTCATGACAAAACTATGAAACCCATTTATCATATAAGTAATAGCTAGTAATATATTCATTATAAGAAAAAAAACTTTAAAATTTAATCACTACTTTCATCAATTGGTAATTTACCCAGTTAATGCTTTTTCACCAAACCAATCACCTCTACTTAATGTACGTACAAATTGTGGTTCTTTTGTACGATCAATTGTACCATTCTCTAATGTTGGATAAATGGTCACTTTCACTTGACCATCAGCGATAATGTAGAAATTATCACCTCTAGCACCTTGACGTATAATATATTCATTTGGACGATAAGTAACTTCAGTCAGCCGATCTGCTAATTTAGATATTGTACTATCTGGTAAATTACTAAATGTTGGTACACTAAAACAAAACCGACAGAAAAAAAACAGACGAGAAATCAAGGTAATGTTCAATTTTCAATGTTCAATGTTTAAGTATATTGATATTGTGGTGCGAGCTACTTATAAGTAGTATATGACGTGAGTGTCAACGTAATGTCTGGCAGCAGAAGATGGGGGAAGATCAAGAAAGGAAGAGTTAGAAAACAATGGAATTTGTATGAAACGCATCATGAATAGTGACAATGGATTGATGTTTTGCAACAGGAACAGTCCAGTTCGATATGATGAACTGATATTTTGCAAATGAACGATTTACGATATGGTTTTCCGATTTTACTGAGTAACTCTGTAATTTTCGTTAAATACACAATTCTGTTGCCCCACCTGTGTTCTCGTTCACTATTTATTTTTAGTTCTTCTATAATTTCTAGTCAAATATTTTCTGTATGAGTTATTTTTTCAAGAAAACAAAACATGTTTTAATTAGAGTAATCCTACAAATATATATATATATATATATATATATATATATATATATATATCATCTAAGTAATAATATGTTTTCTAAGCAAGAAATAATCGAAATTTGTTATTAAAACTGTGTCCGGAAGTTAATAATTTTAAGAATTGTTTTATTATATTTTTTGAGTTAATCTCTTAATGATACATTGAAATTTTTTATTTTATCTATTCAGGTGAATCATGTCATTAAAAAAATGTTTTATGATAACTAGCATTTATCTGCAATGAATGTTACATTAAGGTGTTGAGTGGCAATCATCAGCACCGTTTAGTAGTTAGTTAATTTGGATGTTCAGTATCACCACTGGTTGAGTGAGTACATAGTAAGGTGTTAACTGGCAAGACGTACAGATACTTTGGTTCATCAAAACGAAACGTTTTTTCCACTACACTCACTTCAATCAATTTTTACTATTATTATGGGATTTTTTCTGGTTTATTACGTTACACGATCTACCAAAATAGGCGCGTTCAAAATAGACTTCGAATGCAGTCAGTACAATTAAAACAAGGTTTGATAAACTTTTCAAATAACACTGAGTATTTTGTATCATATTACCAACCTGTTAACATAATCATACAATAATCCGATTCTCTTTAAAGTCAATAAGATTAAACTATATATTAGTATGATCATTATATAAACTACGTTTCAATCATTTAACCCTATAAAATATTTTTAAAATAAACACAATCTACTTATAAGTAGATAATCTAAAAATCTTAAATAATCTGATAAGATATTTATTTCACTGGGAAATAGATGAGATGTAGCTAGCAGTGAAATCTAAGATCTTAGTTTCGTCCTGTTTGTGATTCATCAACTACATTTGACTGAATCCAAAATAGAACAGAATGCACAAATTAGATTCCATTCCTAGCCACATTTCATCTGTTTTGAATCAAATTGTGTCAAAATGGCTGTATCGAAGTAAACCGTACAAGATGCCCATACGCTAACTAAGGTTGATCGAATTACAGTCAGAAGTGCTAACAATGAAATCTTACACATAGTCTTAAATCGAAATAAATCATAAATAATCTATTTTTCACTGTAAATTGATCAACAGATCAAAAATGCACTGAGCATTATGTGCATGTACTGTTGAGAACAGCAAGTATTGTGTAGCGTTAGACTTTCGTTATCTTCGACTTCCCGTATATGTCCGTCTTGATGGTCGCTACGAGAGAACACGAGTCGTTCGCCACAATTTCTTTATTATTCAAATTATTTAATGATCGATATAACTATGGGATTTAATTCAAATATGTATAGTCGATATTAACATCGAATTATTCAAACTGTTAATCGATACAGCTAGTCAAATAACTATATGTGTAGGTGGCAAGTAATGAATGCCCAAGCGTACATGCGCATACAAGCTCAACAATGATAAAAGTACAAGATATATGTGAGGTGCTACAATTGAAATCTTGAACCGGATGTCTTATTAAAATAAATGTTGAAAACATTATTTGATTTAAAATTTATTTTAAGTATCAAATAAATAATTAAGCAACTTTAGAGTAGGATATTTTTAATGAAAAACAGTAATCATACGAATTACGACTAAACACTTTAATCTATCTGGAATGTGCTTGCTTGGAATAAATTTAAATCCGTTGGAGGAATAGGAGTTAGAAGCGTTCGAAACTTTATCTAAAATCAGAAACTTTTATTTTTATTTTCAAGTTAACATCATATTAATGTTACGTCACTCATCTGAACACAATGAGGATGAATCATTAAACTTAACCTGTTGTGGTGTTCGCTACTTATGAGTAGTATATGACGCGAGTAAAAACGTAATGTCTGGTAGCAGAAGATGGGGGAAGATCGAGAAAGGAAGAGCGGGAACACAATGAAACGCATGAACAGTGGTGAAATGTCAGACAATGGAACAGTCCGGTTCGTTATGATGGATTGATATTTTGCAAATGAACGATTTAGGACGATATGGTTTTTCTATTTTACCAATTAACTCTGTAATTTGCGACAGACACAATTCGGTTGCCCTCACCTGTGTTCTCTTTCACTACACTGTTATCAGTGCAACTTTTGTGGGGACATATAGCTTTGCATCATTAAAAAAACGATGTTAATAACTATAATTTTTTGTATTAGTTGTTTAGATCTTGCAATCAGGAAAAAGGCACTGTTAGCAGAGATGAATGGTGACTAGGACATGCGTTTCATCCCCTGTCAGATTCATCATTTGGATTTCCCGGTCTCCAAGACTATCTGGATATCAGAACTCCTTAATTAAGTGGATAATAGAATTGCACTTGAAACAAACAACAGCAGGTTGGAGTTTCACAATGAATGCAGATTCACTGATTTGACATGTCTCAAGTAGGAGGAAACTCGAGTCCTTGATTCCAGTGTGAGCCATCATCTATCTCTGTTTACCATGCTAGTCCCAATTTATAATGAAAATGTCTGATGTGCACTGATTAGTCTCTACATAGTAATTTATATCGTGAGAAATAGAGAAAGATATGAGAGGAATGAACAAACATTGGACAAAACTGGAGAGGGAAGCCCAGGACAGAGTTGGTTGGCGAAAACTGGTGTGCGGCCTATGCTTCATTGGGGGTAACAGGCGTAAGTAAGTAAGTAAATTATTTGACTGATATGATGGTATCAGTACGGGGTTGACAATGTCAACGAATTCATTCAATTGAACTTTCCGTTAAAACAATAATAATAATAATAACAACACAATTCAATCCGTCAATGATTCTGTCAGTCACATTTAAAAACTTTCCTGTAAGAAAAATCAAAATTTCAATATTCCTATTTGACCAAAACGATTTTGAATTCGTAACTTGCATTGAAAGATTGATTTTTCTTATAAAATTAAGACAGTAAATTAATTAATTAGTTGAAAGACAACACATTGTAGTATTTGATTCAATCTATCTGTGAATGATATAAACTTTGATTAGAAAAATTCAATTCCGTAAGCTTTCTGTATTTGTTTTTTTTTCTTCAATATGTATGTCAATTTGTGTTCAATGATTTTTTATGATTGAATACGGATTTTGTTTTAAAACTATAATAGAATAATACTTCAAAAATTTAGGTCAATTGCCAAATAAATCATTCATGCTCTCCAACAACATGTTTTAATGATACTTTGAGAATTAAAGTGTTATTTACAACAAAAAACTAAGTGAAATAAATATATATTATTTGAATTTGGGTTTGATTTATTGAACACTGACTGGACAATTTCTTATTTGAACATTTTACAAAGAAAATTTATTAATTTTTCCAATTAGAGTTATAGAAATTAGTGTTTTTAACATATTGAAACATACTGAATCAATCATTATTAGACCCCATTGGAAACCCGGCAGAACTGAACGGCTGTTTCGCCCTGAATTTGGTGAGGTCACGTAAAATCCCTAGATTGATCGTAGTTAGATATTAACACCGTCAGATACCCGCTCAGTGGTCCAGAAGCTAGACATTAGCGCGCAAGATCAAAGGTCCTGGGTTTGAATCCTGTGAGTAGCAGGCTTTCTGGATGCTCAATGCCGATGGGTCTCGCATCAAGACAGAACGGCCTTCCAGTGCCTCTAGGTTTTGAATGGTTTTCTAACATTGATTGGTTGATGATTTTGACGTGTAAAAACTATTATCGTTAAATAACTAGTGAATTTTTAGGAGAACGCTAAGCTTAACTTTTATTTAAGAGACTGTTGAGTGAGTACATTGATCCAGTGTAATGTGGTCGAATACTTAAGTAATAATAGTCATACTGCAGTCATTTAACACTCAGTTGGTTTTCATTTTAAGCTTACAGATGATAAATGACTACTTAATCCAACTATTTCAATCTGGCATTTACCGATCCGTACAGAATCACCTGCCAGTAGCTGTACGATGTTGTTCAACTACTGTAGGTGAAATTTAACAGGGCTTACATTTCCTAGTCGTAATCAGATAGTTTATCGACTTTCCCTCTAGGTAAAGTTGTAAACCTTTTTCTAAGTTGTGTCAATATTTATAAATCACAAAAAGAAATGACAGTCTAATGCCTGATTATTTACATGTACTAAGGTGTGTTTCCTGATTGCTTTGTGTAAACCATAACATTATTTAGCTTAGGTGTCATTTAAAAGTTCAATAATCATATTAATCAATAAAAAATCTTGTCAATCACCAGCTTTTGTTGATTTATAGGTTTTCTATACTCAATGCACCTTTCATTAGAAGTATTTTTATTTTCCAATGAGCATTTTTTGTAGTTTTGAGATTCCTCTTTTTTGTCAGGTTAGGTACAAGGAGTAATATCTAGTATCGGTTTTCGTATTAATAAATATACAGTACAGGTTCTGATATTGTTTGACGAACGGAAATCATTTTTCGCAAGTAATTTCTTTTCAAGTACCGATTTCCGGTGGCAACCCTTGGTATTTTAATGTTGATTTGTTATTCCACATTTCGCACACTTTTAATTAAATTTTCAATGAAATCCAGATCAAGAATATAAATTTATTGAAGTTGTCAACTTTTAGTGGAACTCTTGGTATCTTTCCGAATAAATGCATCATCCAATCAATAAAACATAAAGTAACCTTGTACTTGTATCATGGCAGACCTGACTAACCTTACTTACTCACTAACTTTAGCCTGTTACCCCCGATGAAGCATAAGGCTGCTTCGCTTTCCAGTTCTGTCTAATTTTTGTTCGTTCCTCTCATATCTTTCTCCATTTCTCAGCGTTCTGTGTTTCTTGACCTTCCTCTGCTCCTTTTTATCCTGAGGGTTCCATGTGAGGACTTGTCTTGTGACGCAGTTGGGTGCTTGTCGCAGTGTGTGTCCTATCCAATTCCATCGCTCCTTCCTGATTTCCTCCTCCACTGGAATCTGGTTTGTTCTCTCCCACAGTTCGTTGTTGTTGATAGTGTCTGGCCAACGAATTCGAATTATTTTGCGTAGACAACTGTTCATAAACACTTGTATCTTCTGGATGATGGCTTTGGTAGTTCTCCAAGTTTCTGCTCCATACAGTAGAACTGTCTTGACATTTGTATTGAAGATCCTGATTTTGGTTTTGGTTGATAGTTGTTTTGAGTTCCAGATATTTTTCAACTGTAGAAATGCAGTCATTGCTATGTCCATCCGCGCTCTCACATCTGAATCGGATCCACCTTGGTTGTCGATGATGTTGCCAAGATATGTAAAGGTGTTAACGCCTTCCAAGACACCTCCATCAAGAGTGATTTGGTTGGTGCATGTTGTGTTGCATCGGAGAATTTCTCTTTTCCCTTTATGTATGTTGAGACCTCCTGCTGCAGAGGCTGTTGCTACACTGGTCGTCTTCTCTTGCATTTGTTGTTGCGTGTGCGATAGAAGAGCCAGGTGATCTGCGAAGTGCAGATCGTCCAGCTGCGTCCTAGCTTTTCAGTTGATACCATGCTTCAAACTTTATACTAATTATACGTCAAATAAAATCATTATATATTCATTACTAATCTACCTTTTCAGAAATGTTATATAATCATTGTGTTTTTGTAAATGATCACGCATCAATATAGTTTGAAATGATGTTCTATCAATAGCCCAAAGTATTCCATTTGTTAAAGCTGAAAGAAATAATAGAAAATAATAATAAATTCGTTTTATACATTCTGGATAGATGATAGTTTAAAATTATGGGAAGGATTATTTTTAAACTAATTCCATGCATTGTTTCTCGCATATATACGCCGTATCAATAATTTTTAGGCATCTTTATTCAGTGAAATATTGTAATTTACAGTTCTATTGTTAAGTACTATATTAGAATTGTGAATCGATCATTGTTAGACCACCATTAGAAACCTGGAAGTACTAGATGGCCGTTTCATCCTGCTATGGTACTATTCGGCTGGGCGCTTTCATGCCTCATGCTCGCGGGAAATCGAACCTAGTACCGTTGATGTCGCGCGTGAACGCTTAACCTCTAGACCAGTGAATCGGCATCCAGTGGTGTTGATGACCGACTTTGATCAATCTAAGCATTTTTAAGTGGTTTTCATAGTACAAATTGTACGTTTGAATATCTAGACTCTTTATAAAACATTTTGGATGAAGTTCAATTATTTGCAAAATCATAAACTTAATAAAAAGACAAATTCAATGTCTTTTTATGGAAAGAAGGTCACGATTTTTTTCGAAATATAATGATACGTCTATTCTCTGTTTAGTATTGTTTAATCGCACAAACGTCTAATGAAACTTCACAGTGTTAAAACACATTCTAACTGAAAATAAGTCTTATTGGTAGATATTATATGCATCCATTAGGTTGCCTTTATGTACAACTGATTTCCATGATTATATGACAATGATATTTTGAATTATTTTGCCTTCATCGAAGTATTCAAGAAAGTATGTCATATTTTAAGTTTTAATAAAAAAAAATCACTCAATCATTTTTCTATGATCAATTTAAAAAAAAGTCAATGTTCAATAATCCTGTTAGTTCAAGGTCTAAGTCATTGTGAAACATCAATCTTTTCTATTGAATTGTCAACTTGAGTAATGCAAAAATAACATGGATATATTCACTTGAAATACCTCATTGCATACACAATGTGTATAAAACACATTTTGAAAACAAAATATTAGATATGTGAAATTAAATGAGAGAAACTTTCTATCCAATGTATAAATCGTTTTTTCTGGAATTCGTAAATGACTATGGCGTGGTGTACTGTTACAAACTGAATGTAGATGTTGAATAGGAAAGTTGAATGAGGTTATGCATTCTGATAGAAATCATATCTCCTGTTTTGTTTGAATCTGTGGCTTATTATACTCATGGACTGTATCAAGTTTATTGACAATCAGACCAGATATAACTCTGCAGGTTACTCTACTCATAGTTTTCAATGTTTATTGAATCATATTAAGCATGACAAACTTCCTGTTCACCATGTTCATGTTTGTTTAGACTCAGTGAAGAGATACATGGAGAATTTAAATCGGCCAATAAAAAACAAATCAATCCAAACAGTTTTAAGGATAACTTTATTTATTGTAATTTCGTAAGCACAGATTATTTAAAAAGTAAATTAACAATCCTCCATTGGATTGTTTCCTTGTGAATTATCACTGTCAGATAATAAGATGTTTTTTAATGAAAGTTCATCAAGATCTCAATCAAAATTACAGTAACGAAATAAAAAAATAAAAAATCAATATAATTAGTGGTCAATTCCGGGAATGGTATTGTCAAATGTCAATTTGTTGGCCATAATCAAAATCACATAAAAATCACACTGATGACTGAGTAATGGTACAACAGTACAATAACTTAAAAAGTTGAACAATATATCATTTATGGAGTGAACTGAAAAAATTGTAGGGAAAAGTCTTATACTAAATAACCTACTGTTAAGTACAAACACAGAAAGATATACACATTTGAAATCATCAATCAATCATTGTTAGACCACCATTGGAGACCTGGAAGCACTGTAAGACGGCCGTTTCCTCCTGGTATGGGACTTCTGCACCTCTCAGGATTCGAATCCGGGACCTTCGGTATTGTGCGCGAACGCCTGACCATCGGACCGCTGGGCTGGCGGCATCCAGTGGTGGTAATGTCTAACTCTGATTGATCTAGGGATTTTGCGTGACCTCACCGATTTGTCTTTGGTAGTTACTGCCTACATCCGACAGGGTTGAACTCCACTTGTCACGTCTTCTCACTAGAACTCCGAGAATCTCCTCACGAAGCTAGTCCCTAGTGAGCATATGTTACGATATTTTCAGTTGGAGTTTTGGAGATTTGTGTTTAGACACGTTTGACCATTAGAGTTCAACCATGTCGGGTGTAGGCAGCAGCTACCAAAGACAAATGGGTGAGGTAAAGCAAAATCTCTAGATCAATCAGAGTTAGACATTAACACCATTGGATGCCGCCAGCCCAGTGGTCCGATGGCCAGGCGTTCGCGCACTATACCGAAGGTCCCGGATTCGAATCCTGCAAAGTGCAGGAGTCGTGGATGCGCACTTCTGATGAGTCCCATACCAGGATGAAACAGCCGTCCAGTGCTTCCAGGTTTCTAATGATGATGAGTGACTGGTGATTTTAAATGTGTATAAACACAAATCTCCAAAACTCTAACTGAAAATACAGAAATTTGACAATGGAAAAGATCTTTTAAATCTAATGTTTGTGTTCAATGTGATGAACAGTGATGGAGTATGGCATTGAACTCATACGAAGAATATATGAAAAGCTAGATTGATTTACGCGTGACCATTGTATTGAGTACAGGATTTTGTATTCATGCATGAATA